TACTTATTATAGTAAAAAAAAACCCGGATGGTGCAACTGGTGAAAGGGAGGGAGGGGGGGGGGGAGAGTGATAATGGTGATTGTCTTTATTTTAATGATGGTGATGATTAAGATTGTAATGTTTTAATTATGTTGATTATGATGATAATTATAATTTTGAAGCTAATTGCAATCTGGAGAGGAATCATGATAGCAATAGTTGTAGCAATATCAATGAGGTTTTCAATAATATGGGTGATGATGATGATGAAAATTATTAGGATAATAACTGTGATGATTATATTGATAATAATAATGATTATATTGATAATAATGATAATGATAATAATGTAATAATGATAACAGTGATGATTGTTGTTATTAGTGTTTTTCATTGTTGTTATTGTTATTATTACTGTTGCTGCTGTTGTTTTTTTTATGATCGTTATTGTCCTTATCATTAGCATAATCACAATAATCATAATAACCATAATAATAATGGCAATAATAATAAACTACTCCTCATATACATAACGATAACAACACTTAACACATTCCGATAAAGTTCAACCCAATATGCTAATTACCTCCCTTCTCCCCCCCCCCCCCCCCCCCCCCCCCCACAGAGAAGCCGAAGTATCCGCCGCCCGCGCTGAGGTCACGGTGGCGGAGAGCGAGAAACTGGAAGCTCTCTCGAGGGTCACCGGCTTGGAGAATCAGGTGTCTGAGGCCAAGGTAGGTCAGATCAGGTCAGGTCGATTTGTCTCTTCGGTAAAGAAGGAGGGAGAGGTGGAGGAAGAGGAGGAGAAAGGAAGAAGGAGGAGGGAAGGATGAAGGAGAAAGGAAGAAGGAGGAGGGAAGGGTGAAGGAGAAAGGAAGGAGGAGGAGGAGGAAGGAGGGGGATGTGGCGGAAAGAGGAGGAGCATGAGGAAGGAGGAAGAGGAGGAGGGATGGAGAAGGAGGAAAAGAGGAGGAGTAGGAGGATGGAGAAAGAGGAGTAAGGAGAAAGGAGGAAGAGGAGGAGACATGGAGAAGGAGTAAAGAGGAATGAGGAGATAGAATAACAAAAAAGGAGATAGAAATAAGAGGAAATAGAATTGACGGAGGAGGAAGAAAGGAGATAAAGATGAAAGATGAAGCGAAGGAAGAGAAATATTTAGACTGAGAATTTGAATACTGGTTATTCAAAAAAGAAAGAAAGATAACAGGGGGAAAGACAAGAAAAGAGAGACGGAGAAAGAAGGAGGGAAGAGTAGGAGGAAGGAAAGAAAGAGAAAAAAAAATATTAGATAATATAGGAAAAAGTGGATGGAAGGAAGGAATAACCAATAATCAGGATAATAAAAAAATCACAACAGAAACAAAACAATAAAACAATAAACGAGGTAAATTAAAAAAAAAAAAAAAACACGAAGAAATATAGAACACGAAATTAACAGCAAAAATATTCAGACATGAAAATTTAGGTGAAATTTTAGGTAAAAGGAAAGAGAATGCACTAATTTCCAATAATGAACAGTGATGTAATAAAAAAAAAGAAAAAAAAAAAAATCATGTGTGCTTATTAACGAAGAAATTCAGGAAAATATTGATGAAGGGATGAAAAGTATTGGAAGGGAAAATGAGGAAGAAATGAGGGGAAATTGGATAAAATTATGTTTAAATGGAGAAAGAAGTTTAAAAAGAAAAAGAAAAAAAAAATAAGAGCAGATTTAAAAGCTAATTTTAAACGAAGACGAAGACGAAGAAAAAAAAAAGAGATGCTACATAAAAAAAAAACATTAAATGAACGAATGAAAAAAAAGAGAAAGACTAATAACTTCATTTCATAATGGCTTTTTTTTTTTTTTTTTTTTTTTTTTTTTTTTTTTTTTTACGTCTGACTGATTTATATTTCGAGATCGTTGTGACTTAGAAGAAGCAATAAATTTTCGGTAATCTTAAGGAGAGATCTTTGACGAAAGAAGGAGGGAGGGAGGGAAGGAAAAAGAGAGAGAGAAAAAAAGAGAGACAGACAGACAGTCAGACAGAAACAGAGACAGAGACAGAGAGAAAGAGATACAGCGACAGAGACAGACAGAGAGAGAGAGAGAGAGAGAGAGAGAGAGAGAGAGAGAGAGAGAGAGAGAGAGAGGGACTGAGAGAGACAGAGATAGACACACACATACACACACAGAGAGAGAGAGAGAGAGAGAGAGACAGAGTCAGAGACAGACAGAGACAGAGAGAAAGAGAGAGAGAGAGAGAGAGAGAGAGAGAGAGAGAGAGAGAGAAAGAAAGAGAGAGAGAGAGAGACAGAGAGAGAGAGAGAGGGGGGGGGGAGAGGGAGAGACAGACAGGCAAAGACAGAGAGAGAGACAGAGAGAGAGAGAGGGGGGGGGGAGGGAGAGACAGACAGGCAAAGACAGAGAGAGAGACAGAGCAAAATGATAAAGCGAGGGAGAAAATTCGAAACAGTCGGAAAAGGTTATCGCTATGATTCGCAAGATGACAGTTAAGATAAAGTTCCCCAAAAGAAGAAAAAAAAACAAAAAAAAATGACTAGCTTTTACTCGATCAGAAAATCAGTCATGCTTATCACTCTCTTTATCTTATCTTTGCTTGTCTCTTCATTTCTCCTACTGTGTGTCTCTTTCTTTGTAATTATTAATATTTTTCTATAATTTGATTTGTGTCTTTTTTTTCTGAATTCTCTCTTTCTTTCTTTCTTTTTCTCTGTCACTGTCTGTTTCTTTCTCTTTCTCTGTTTCTCTCTCTCTCTTTCTCTTTCTCTGTTTCTCTCTCTATCTCTCTCTCTCTCATTCTTTCTCCCCCCCCTCCCTCTCTCTCTCTCTCTCTCTCTCTCTCTCTCTCTCTCTCTCTCTCTCTCTCTCTCTCTCTCTCTCTCTCTCTCTCTCTCTCTCTCTCTCTCTCTCTCTCTGTCTCTGTCTCTCTCTCTGTCTCTTTCTTTCTATTTCTATCTTTCTTCAATCTCTCTTTTCCCTTATTACATTCTTCTGCAAAATAAAAAGAAATCTTCACAAAAGACTTTGCAAATAAACAACATGAATACGAAGCAAGAAAACAACAACAAAATAAACTGTTTTTGTTCTTACAAATACATTAAGGTTTAAGGATTAATTATCTTACATGCTGTTGTTGTTGTTGCTGTCATTGTTATCACAAAATGTCTTTGTTGTCATTGTTATCATGAATGGTTTTGATGTCATTGTCATCATCAATGTTCTTGTTGTTGTTGTGCAGTAATGATGCAAATAATTTTCTGTCTTTGTTTTCACTCTATTATTGTATATTTTTCATCCTTCTTTTTTGTTTTATGTTTATGCTTTTATTACTATTTTTTTCTTTGTCACTCCCTTCTTAGATCATTTATGTCGTAATTTATATAACATGCTCTTCATTAACGTTTGTAAACGAATTATCACGAAATCACGAATTCAGTCAAAAAAAAATATATATATAATAAATGAAAATAAAAACATAGATAAATAAACATAAATCAAGACATATCAATAAAGAAAAAATAATAAATGGACAGAAGGAGAAAGTTTAGGAAGACTTAGAATAATCTGACAAATAAAATGTAAAAATGGAAATAAAAGTTTAGAAAAAGATAACGAAAAAAGGGGAGAGAGAATTGAAAAAAATATAGAGAGAAAACTCGATAATATTCCAAATGATAATTTTTCCTCTTAGGTAAGTTCAGTACAAGGCAAGATTGTAAATGTAAATGATGTTAAAATAATGTAGATGTAATTAACAACAATAATGATAAAAAAAATATTCCACAAACAATAGCTTTATCAAACCAACTTAATAACTTATATAACAGTAATAATAATGAAACACACATCCCGTCCCTTATAGAGTACCTTATATACATAAAAGTAATGATAATAGTGATAATAACAACAATAATAATAATAATAATGATAATAATAATGATAATAATAATAATAATAACAATAATAATAATAATGATAATAATAATAATGATAATGATAATAATAATAATAATAATAATGATAATAATAATGATAATAATAACAATAATAATAATAATAATAATAATAATAATAATAATAATAATAATAACAATAATAATAATAATAATAATAATAATAATAATAATAATAATAATAACAATAACAATAATAATAATAATAATAATAATAATAATAATAATAATAATAATAATAATAATAACAATAATAATAACAATAATATTAATAATAACAATAATAATATTAATAATAATAATAATAACAATACCCCAAAGGCGCCCCACAACGCAATAACCGCCACGCCCCACCGTCTCTTTTAGAAGGGCCTAGTTCAAGGGCTCGTGAGCGTTTTCTTCGACCTAACCCCATACCTCTTTGTGATTCCCAATGTGCTCTCTTTATGACTGCCCATGACGACGCCACACTGCCAGGAGGCCATGTCAGCTGTGGCCAAGTCTAGTGTGGCCACGGAGATCCAGGTAGAGGAGGCCAGGAGAGAGTTTTCGGATCTGAGGGAAAAGCTGAGGAGCCAGGAGGTAAAAAGGGAGGTAGAGATGGATGGATAGATAGATAGATAGATAGATTGATTGATAGATTGATAGAGCATGATGGTGGCTTAAGGATGTGAATGTAGATTGGTAAGAAGGAAAAAATAGTAGTTGATAGTAGTGAAGGTAGAGATGGATGGATGGATAGATTGATAGATAGATAGATAGATAGATAGATAGATAGATAGATAGATAGATAGATAGATAGATAGATAGATAGATAGATTGATAGATTGATAGAGCATGATGGTGGCTTAAGGATGTGGATGTAGATTGGTAAGAAGGAAAAAATAGTAGTTGATGGTAGTGGAGGTAGAGATGGATGGATGGATAGATTGATAGATAGATAGATAGATAGATAGATAGATAGATAGATAGATAGATAGATAGATAGATAGATAGATAGATAGATAGATTGATAGATTGATAGAGCATGATGGTGGCTTAAGGATGTGGATGTAGATTGGTAAGAAGGAAAAAATAGTAGTTGATGGTAGTGGAGGTAGAGGTGGATAGATAGATAGACAGATAGATAGATAGAGAGATAGACAGATAGATAGAGCATGATAGTAGCTTAAGGATGTAAATATAGAGGTTTGATAAGAGGAAAAAAAATAGTAGTTGATGGTAGTCTATAGAAGGAAATGGTAGTAAATATAAGATGATAGCGAGAGGGACAAAGAATAGATAGTAATGATGAAATACGAAAATGGAAGTAGATGGGAAGTATTAGAGAGTGAAGAAGTAGAAGTAGATAGTAGTGATAAGAAATAGAAAGCAGTAGATAGAGAAAGATAGTGATTAAGGACATAGTAGACAATGATAGAAGAAGACTAGTAGTAGATACAGAATGATAGCGATTGAATAGAAGTAGACAAGAATAATAAAAGAAGAAAATAACAGTAGATGAAAAATAATAGTGATTAAGGGAAAAAAGTAAGCTGTAGTTGTTGTTTTTTTCTTTAACTGTGCTTTAAGTTTTTGAATAATCGCTGCGTTTTGTAGGAGTTAAAATGCTTTGAAAATAACTCAAAAAGTTAATATAAATCGTAGTTGTAATTTGAGGATATATCTTTTTAAAGTCCTATTTGCTGTTGTTGTTTTGCAGTTTTTAGAAATTACTATTATTATTTTTTTTTATTCTTCTTATCTTACGTAATAATGCATGCTTTCATAGAATGCAAAACAAGAAAGATAGAAAAAAGACATGTCGTACTTACAAGGTTTTTTAGAATATATATATATATATATATATATATATATATATATATATATATATTATATATATATATATTTTCTTTTTTTTTTGGGGGGGGGGGAGGTAGACACATAGATTGCCTCGCTTTCGTAGTTTTAGGGGGGAGGGGGTAATGCAAGGAGTTGTTGGTTGTAAAAAAGAATGACTGCTTTGTATTAAATGCTTTTTTCGCAATCTATTTTATCTAATAGTCCAGTTTTACTCTATATATAAAAAAAAAAAACATAAAAAGATAAAGATAAAAAAAAAAATTATGAACAAAAAGAAAAAAGAAACTAACAAATAAAAAAACTGACAAACATATAAAAAGATAAATAAATAAAAATAGATAAACATCCAAATAGATAAAATAGCCAAGTAGATGATAAAGAAATAGACAACTAGATTTTGATTGACAGATAGATAAAAAAAAATATTAAATAAAATAGATATTAGAACACAGAGATGATAATAATACAAAAATAGACAAACAAATCCACATAGAAAAAAAATCTATTAAAATAGACAAATATTTTTAAAAATTAAAGATAGATAAATATTTTTTTTTTTATAGAAAATAGACAAATAGAATTTTTAAAAATTGACAAATAGAAAAAATAGACAAATAGATTTTTTAAATTAGATATAGACAAATATTTTTTGATGACAAATAAAAAAAATAGATCAGAATAGGCAAATAGATTTTAAAAATGACCAAAAATAGACAAACAGATAAAGAAAACCCTGACAATTAGAAAAAAGAAAGAAAGAAAGAAAGAAAGAAAAGAAAAAAAATATATATATATATATATATATATATTTATATATATATATATATATATATATATATATATATATATATATATATATATATATATATTTATATATATATATTTATATATATATATATATATATATATATATATATATATATATATATATATATATATATATATATATATAACGACAATCAGAGAGAAAAAAAATATTTATACATAAAAAAAAGAAAAAAAAGGAAAATCAATTCCTCAAGCCCTTAGGAGGCGAAGGGAGAGTAAGCCGTGCCTTCCCTCTTCTAGGACCTCGCCAAGGAGTTCAAGGCGGAGCTAGACAAGACGAAGCAGGACCTCGAGGAAGCGAACAAGGAGAAGGACGACCTGGTACTGAAGTTAAACTCGTTGGAGGTACGAGTGTGAGGCTTTTAGACTTTTTTTTAGGCTCTGTGGCGGTCGAGGGTGAGGTGGGAGTTGGGGTTCGAGGACGAGGTCGTGGAGGGTGAGGGTGCGTTGGGACTCGGGGCTCGAGGACGTGGTCGTGGAGGCCGAGGGTGAAATGGGACTCAGGGTTCGAGGATGAGATCGTGGAGACCGAGGGTGAGGTGGGACTCGAGAGAGTGGGTCGAGGTTGAGGGAAAGGAATTTCTTGTGGTATATTGAAGGTCGTTATATAGTTAAATATACAAATAAACACACAGAAAGATAAATAAACAAACAGACACACACACACATACACACACACACACACACACACACACACACACACACACACACACACACACACACAAACACATCACTCTACGGAACACACAAACATATATTCACACGCACATAACAATTCCCTTCCTCTCGCGTCGCATTAATTCAGTGAGAACAAAGACGTTGTTCTCTCGATGGTCGTATCTGATGGCCATTCGAGAGGGAATTAGTGGTCGCTTTATGCCCTCGAGGGGGAGGAATGGAGGCGGAGGTGGAGGAGGTGGTGAAGGGGGTGGTGGAGGAGGAATAGGAGGGGCAGGTGGAGGGGGAGGGGGTGGAGGAGGAATAGGAGGGGGAGGGGGAGGAGGTGAAGAAGTAGGAGGTGGTGGAAAAAAGGTGGAGGTGGTGGAACAGGAGGGGGAGGGGGATGTGGAACAGGAGGAGGAGAAGAAGGAGAAAGAAAAGGAACTGAACGAGGAACAGGAGGATATAGACTCAGTGAAGGAGGAGGAGGGACAAGAGGTAGAACAGGAGGAGGAGAAGGAGGAACAGGAAGAGGAGGAGGTGGAACTGGAGGAGGAGGAGGAGGAGGAGGAGGAGGAGGAGGAGGAGGAGGAGGAGGAGGAGGAGGAGGAGGAGGAGGAGAAGGAGAAAGAGGAGGAACAGAAGGAAATAGTTTCAGTGAATGAGGGTGGAAGAGGTGGAGGAGGTAGAACAGAAGGAGGAGGAGGAGGAGGAGGAGGAGGAGGAGGTAGAACAGGAGGAGGAGGAGGAGGAGGAGGCAGCGGCGGTGGACTCAGCTGCTCGCCGAGGGGGACGCCCAACTGGCCCGCTCAGACTAGCTTCTATTGTGACTCCTCGTCTTCCATTTTCTTTATCTTATTTATTATTATTATTTATTCTTACTTTTTATTTAGGTTAAAGTGCTGGGCGTCGGGTTAGGGAAGGGAAGAAGGGGGGAAGAGGAGGGGTAGAACTGAAGAAGGGGAAGGGAAGGGGAGAGGAGGAGAAAGGGAAGGGAAGAGGGGAGGGAGAAGAGGAAGAGAAGGGGATAAGAGAGCGAAAGGAGGAGAAGGAGGAGAAAGGAGGGCGAAGAGTAGAAGAGGAGAGAAGGGCGAGGAAAGAAAGGGAGAAGGGAGGGCGTAGAGGAAGAGAGGTAGAAGGGAAGGGGTGAGAAGGAGAAGGAGAGAGGAGAGCGAAGAAGAGAGGGGGAAGAGAAGGGGAGAAGAGAACGAGGAGGAGTAGCAGGAGAGAGGAAGGCTTAGAGGAAGAGAGGCAGAAGGGAAGGGGAGAGGAGAAGGAGAGAGGAAGAGAAGATGAAGGGAGGACGCAGAGGAAAGAAACAAAGGGAAGGGCGAAGAGAAACAGAAGAATTAAGGGGGTAGAGGAAGAATTGGAGAGGGAAGGATGAGGGAAGAGGAATAGGAAAGGATAAAGAAAGAGGGAAATTGAAAGGAGGAAGATTAAGAGAGAGAAACGACCTGTCTGGGGAAAAAATGAGATAAAACAAAGGAATAAGAGAAAGTTAGAGTAGAGGAAGAAGGAATAAAATAAACCGTGATAGAATAGAAGAAGGGAAATAAGAAAAACATTGAAGAAGAAGAAGAATGGAAGAAAGAGGAAGCAAAAAAGAAAAAAAATTAAAACAAAAATAAAATAGAAAATAAAGAGAGAAGACAAGAGAAGAAGAAGAATGAGGAAGATCAGAAGAAGAGATAGCAAGAGGAAACGAGCTTAAAATAAACCACAAAACCAATATTTATCTTGGACCAAATAAACTTCACAATTTGTCTTCAGTAATTATCAGAATCCGAACGCAACACCTGTTCAATTTTTTTTTCTCTCTCTATTTTTTGTCTTGAAGAAAATCTAGGTAATTAGAATCTTCAATTTATTATTTTTTTTTCTTAAGATATTTAAAAGAGATATTCCAATTAGATACTTAAATCTACGTAGATATATTTATTTAAGTGAGATATTCAAATGGGTTATTTAAATCTAGATAAAAAATTACCTTTTCAAAAAAAGATACTCAAATAAGATGTATAAATACTACATAAAGATATTTATTTTTAAAAGATATTCGAAATTAGATATTCAAATCTAGACAAAATACAAACAAACAAACATTTATTTAAAAGAGATATTCATATTAGATATCTATATCTATAGGAAAAAATAAAAGATATTCAAATTAGATATATAAATCTATATAAAATAAATAAGAAATATTCAAATGAGATATTTAAATCTATATACAAAATAAATAAGAAATATTCAAATGAGATAATCAAATCTATACAAAAAAAAGAGATATTCAAATTACCATCATATATTGCCCAAGAGATGTCCCCCCCCCCGTCTTAGCCCTTTGACCTTACCTTAGCCTCAACTCAAGCGCCTCCAGGAAGAGCAGGACCTCCTCAGGAAAGCGAACAGCGACTTGAAGGAAGCCAAGGAGGGCCTCGAGGTAGGGTTGCCACCTTTTATTTATTTTATTGATTTCGTTCGGTTATTCACTTACCGACTTGTTTACTTTTTTATTTATTCATTTTACTTTATATGTATGTATATATATATATATATATATATATATATATATATATATATATATATATATATATATATATATATATATATATATGTACTCATATATATATATATATATATATATATATATATATATATATATATATATATATATATATATATATATGTACTCATATATATATATATATATATATATATATATATATATATATATATATATATATATATATATATATTTATACTCATATATATATATATATATATATATATATATATATATATATATATATATATATATATATATATATTTATATATATATATATATATATATATATATATATATATATATATATATATATATATATATATATATATATATATATATATATATATATATATATATATATATATATATATATATATATATATATATATATATATATATATATATATATATATATATATATATATATATATATATATATATATATATACATATATACATATATGTATGTATGTATTCATATATATATATACATATATATATATATATATATATATATATATATATATATATATATATATATATATATTAGTTATATATATACATATATATATATATATATATATGTATATACATATATATATATATATATATATATATATATATATATATATATATATATATATATATATATATATATAATATATGTATATATATATAGTTACCGAATGTGTATTATTGGTACTGATAATACTTAACTGTCAAGTGTATTACCCGTGAATGACTTAGAAGTGAAATTGGTATAAATGCTAATGAGAAGAGATAGATGTGGATATTTACCGTATTATCATTGATGTGCGCAATTGTGGGTAAAGGATCGAGAAACATTAACAGATATAACTTCCGAAATTTCATTTACATTTATATATATATATATATATATATATATATATATATATATATATATATATATATATATATATATATATATATATCATTTATATATATACATGTATATACATATATATCGAAGGTATAAATATATAATATATATATATATATATATATATATATATATATATATATATATATATATATATATATATATATATATATATATATACATATTAAGATTTACTATTCCATTATTGTATGTTCTTTGTTTGGAACATTCCTTGTCGGTATGGAATTATCAAACTAGAACATTTACATATTATATAACATGTATTCAACCGCGGTTTAAGCGAATTAAACATATGTGGTCGATTTTATGAAGTTCTATGATGAGTAAATTGGTTTCTTTATATCATTTGCGTAATTGTGGGAAAAAGTTGCATATTTTTGTCTACGTGTCTGTGTTTTATGTAAATGTTCTTGTGTTAATGTCTTTTTTTTTCTTTCTTCGTCATGTTATTCCAAACATACTTTTTATATGTTTTGTGTACACGTGTTTGTGTGTGTATGCTCCGTTGATGTACGTTTCAAACGTCTCTAAGATACACACACACACACACACGCACGCACGCACACACGCACACACGCACGCACACACACACACACACACACACACACACACACACACACACACACACACACACATACATAAACACACACACACACACACATACAAACACACAGAAAAAAAATACACACTTCTAAAACATTTTTTTAAACTGATCTTCCCACACTCTTAGACACACTCGAAGACCGTGAAAGAAACTCTGGTCAAAGCTACCCTTGACCTTGAAACAGCCAGCCAGGAGAACTTTGACCTCACTGGCAAAGTCGAGGCTCTGGAGGTAGGCCAAGGCAACCTTTTCAGCTTCTGTACATTGCTTCTGGACTTTTTTTTGTGTTGAACTTGTTTTGAACATGTTTTGACAGAGGTGTATTTTTTTCGTTCTGTTTTCTTAATGTTGTTGTTGTTGTAGTTTTTTGCTGTATTTTTTATTCCTGACATATGGGTTTGGAATATGTTTGGTATATTGTGATATTGTTAGTTATTTAAAATATTATCATTCCATCTAAACTAATATGTAGCCACATTTACACAATGGTCTTTCAAAATCACACACAAAAGCAAAGCAAAATCAGACAAAATGAATTATAATTATCACGAAAAAGAAAAAAAAAATCATGACGTACTCAAATCTTTCAAAATTGAAAACCGCCGCCGCGGTTGCCCTACCCGCAAAAAGTGATCATCCCCCCCCCCCCCTCGAACTCAGCTCAAAGTCTCCGAGCTCCTGGAGCAGCTCTCCTCGTCCTTGTCTGAGCACAAGGACCTCGAAGCGACTCACCAAAGCCTCAAGGAGAGTCACCACAAGCTCGAGCAGAGTCGCCACGAACTCGCCAAGACGCACCAAGAACTCGACGAAAGCCACAGGGAAATGGGCGAGAGCTTTCGAGAACTCCAGCAGGTACACGGAGCCCTCGAGGAGAGTCACGAGGCGCTCAGGAGGAGTCACGGGGAGCTCTCGAACAGCCACCAGGCGGACAAGGAGGCTTTGGCACTGACGAAGGTAGGGTGCCAGAGTGCCAGAGGAGAGCAGACGACGAAGTTCACATTTCTCTTTTTTCTTTCATTCGATACGAAACCGTTTCTTTTTACGCAAAGAAATTATTTATTACGGTTATTAACTGTACATTGGGTAAAGCATTTTTTCTCGTCTCTTTTAGAAGTCGAAAAATATGCCGATAGATTACCGCATTTTTTTATATATAAATACGCTTTTCAGTGTTCGCGAGAAATTTGACATAATTTAGGCCTTTTTTCCCCCAGAGAGAAAACGAATTTCGAAATACGAAATTTATTCATATCGACACCAAATTTATCATGACCTAATAAATAAAACAGACACAGATAGCTATCTCATCGTCACTTTATTAAAAGAATAGCAGGCATTAAGTACGGCTTGTGCATAATCTGTTGCCATAAATCAATTGCAACTATTAGTTCATGATAATTAAACGTTCATTTAATTAATTCAGCTAATTCTAGAGAATGACTTGCATAAAAAATTATTTATGTGTCGTGAGTTTTATAATGATTTAAATCCGATTTGATTTATAGATTAGATTTCTTTTTTAATTTCGTTATGAAAGAGGTAGAAGATTTATTTGAGGATGAATCATAACAGATACATAAATATATGAGACGCATTAAAATCTTTATTCTGTGTGAGACAAAATTGTTATTGTCTTTTTTTATTGCATAATTATGTACAGTATATAAATATTTCCATATTCAAGTCTGGAAATGTAATGAATGTTGACTTAATGTTAAAAAAAATAATCAATGAGATGTTGCAGAGAAATAGACCTATAATCGAGAGGGTCACAGAAGGATTCCGTATTTTATTTTCATCAAGTTTTCTTCATTCTTATCTTCGTTTTTTTTCTGTTTCTCTTCTTTTATTTCACATTCTCTCTCTTTCTGTTCCTGTTTTCTTCTATCTTTGTCTTTCCTTTATTCATTTTTGATTAATTTCTGCTTTTTGTGTCACGTTCTGTTCCCTTCTCGACGCTCGCTTTCCCATTTCCCTTTTCAAAAATATGGAAACCTTGTGAGACCTATGTAAAACAATAATAATAATAATAAATAGATAAATAAATAATTATAAGATTTTTACAATATATATATTTTTTTACTTTCTACTTTTTTTTTTTTTTTTTTTTTTTACTTTTCTCTATCACCGTACTATATATTTATTTTTTATTTTCGTTTTTTTTTTCTCTCTTTTCTTTTCTTTTCTTCGCGTCCCTTTCTGTTTCCGGCGGCTTCTGCCAGGCGCAAGTGGCCGACCTTTCCTCCCAGCTCGAAAGCTCACTGAAGAGTTTTAAGACCCTGAGCAAGAGCCATGAGGAGCTCAAGCTGAGGGAGATCGAGATGAAGGTACGTGTGAGAGGAAACAAGGAAGGAAGGAAGGAAGAGGAAGAAGGGGGGATAAAGATGGAGAGACAAGGGGGAGAGAAGAGAGGTTGAATGGGATATTAAAAAAGGGGGGTATGGGGGATTTTTAAAAATATATATTATTTTTCATATTTTTGGAACGTAGTTTCTAGACCTTTGGCGGTTTAATAGAAAATTTCAACTGGGGAATCAGTTGTGTCAAAAAAGGGCTGGCAATTTGCTTTCGGTTATACTAAAAAAAATTTTTTTTTCATTAAACTATATTTTCAACTTAAAAACAATCTTTGAAGTAATTTGACAGTCCATAAGTAATATAAAAAGAAGAGAAAAAAATATTTAGAATGATCATATAAGAATAATCCATAAATAAGATTAAAAAAAAAACGTAAAATCTCCATCACAATTTTTTAAAAAACATCCCATGTTCTAAGAGGAAGATCCGTTTTCTATGAGCATGAAATATGGCTACAAAACCACCGAACGTCTTGCTTCGTCGAGGACTTACAAAGTTCCAATTTCACCATTAGACTCTCGAGAAGGAACTAAAGTCCACGCTGGAGAGGTCAGTCGACGAATTCTTAATCTTTAAGGAGAAATATGAAGTCTTGAAGAAAAGGGAGATCTTCATGAAGGTATGTTTTTTTAGGGGGGCACTTAAAGAAAAAAAGTAAACTAAAAATTAACGAATAAAAATATCAATAGATAAACATTTGAATACGTACGTAGATGAATGAATCATTAGATAGATAAAGAGAGACATAAATAAATAAATAAAACAGGGAGTGTAAGAATGCAGAGAGAATTGAGAGTAAAAGATAATAAATAATTAATTAATTGGAGTAGTCTTTGTTTTTTGTTTTTTTTCTCAGAAATTTTCATCCATTTCATCATCAAATTACTCAGAAAAAATATCAGCTGTCTAATCATTCACTGATAATATGTAATTCACTTTATATATATATATATATATATATATATATATATATATATATATATATATATATATATATATATATATATATATATATTTTTTTTTTTTTTTTTTTTTTTTTTTTTTTTTTTTTTTATTATTATTATTATTTTATTATTATTTTTTTTTTTTATTCGTTCATCCACCCACTTCATTAACTCCTATATTTGGCTTAATCTACTTTATCTTTATTCCGTAAATTAATTCTTAGCTCATCATGGTAAAAAAACAAAAATGACCGATAGGTATTTATATATACTTATTTACGGTTTATTTTTACCTATATATATTTATTTACTGTTTATTTTAGCTGTATATA